CAGTGGTGGAGCACTTGCCTAGGGTATTGGGAGGTCCTGGGTTTGGTCCCCAGCAGCTCTGTCAGTGCCTTTGCTGGACTTGTCATTGAGTTAAGAAGCAGGTTAATGCATAAATTGGGTCTTCCAGGTTCTGAGTCAGCTTGTCACAATCTGAATTTATGTTCGAGGTTTCACTCAGTAGTGCACTTGTCAGTTTTTTAAAGAAACAGCAAATTCCCTTGACTCTAAATTGACGCTTCTTTCTCTAGTTGTGCCTTGATTGACTGCTAGCCCTACATACCCTGTCAGGGACTGTGCTTGTTCCTGGGTGGAAACCAAGGCTCAGCCTGACCCCCTGACCTGGTAGAGAAGCAGCTGGACGCAACTTGCAGGAAGAAAGTGTTTGCCATGGTCTCTGGCATCCCTTCCATTGTCTCCTGGCTTGGCAGGAGGCTGGGCACACAGGAACTTAGGTGAGGCCTGTAAACATCCCCAGGTGGATCTGACTTACACATTTAATGGGACAATGATAGCTGACCAAGGCATGGGTAGGTCAGTTTCAAATGATGCTGTAGTGCCTGGGACTGCAGTGTGAAGTGCTAGCTCCTTTTGCCTCTGTCTTTGTGTGGCCTGGGGTTTGCTCACAGGGTGGCTGTGGAAGCCCATTGCTGTGTCCAGGAGCCTTGTAAGACACACTTAGAGTGCCACTGTGCACAGTCCATTTGTAATGTGGCTGTGCTGTCTTGTGAGACAATCCTGGCCTTGAGCCTGGTGATCACCTTTTCCCAGATACTTTTGCTTCTGAAGTTGGACAGTTCTTGCTCATCTCCAAAGGAAGAGTTGTGAGAGACTGATTAGAACTTTTGTGATAGGCTTTGGTGATAGGGACAAATCATTAAGGTACTAATGGAACCCAAATTCCCCTGGAATCTTTAAGGCATGCTTTACTTATTACCAAGCCAGGGGAGCTTTCAAGCAGACAGCAGCTTTTCACAAATAAGTGGTGTTCTTTGCATGCTCAGGCCACCTAGAGATCCTGAGTCGTTGACCATGGACGGGCCAGGGGTCAGTCATTCTCAGAGCTCACAGCAGCCTTGTACTTAGGTAAGGTTCTAGTCATTGAGTTTTGGAACGCTGATGAAAGAGGTCATAGGCATTTTCAGTGAGTCCAGCAGTCTAGAGGACTCTGTTTCCAGGGATGACAAAACTGCTGCTTGCCCTGGCAGCTGGGCTGACTTCTCCAGCATGTGGAATTTCTCCACCAAGAGACCAACCTCCTGCCTTTTCACCAGCACAGAGCTTAGAAGCATTGGCTTCAACTTATGTTTAACTTGGTTTTGGTTGTTGTACTGTTGAAAGTGTGACACATATATATTCCCGTTACTTTAACAGCCACTTTTTTTGGGGGGGCGGGTGGTACTGGAATTTGAACTCAGGACCTCATGCTTGCAGGTGCTCTACTGCTTGAGCCATTCCACTTGCCTTTTTTTGTGTTGAGTATTTTTGGGATAGGGTTTCATGAACTATTTGCCCAGGCTGGCTTTGAACCTTGATCCTCCTGATCTCTGCCTCCTGAGTAGCTAGGATTACAGATATGAGCCACCAGCACCCACATAATAGCCACTTTCTATTTTTGTCATTCTTTTGTCCATATCTTCTATAGAGAATACTAACACTTTTGCAATGTTGTATTCATCTAATTTTGCATATTCTTATATATCTATTTATATGTACATATATTTCACTTTTTTTTTTTTGGCAGTACTGGGGTTTAAACTCAGGGCCTCACGCTAGTAGGCAGGTACTCTACCACTTCAGCCAGTCTGTCAGTCCTTTTTTTGTGTTGGTTACTTTCAAGATAGGGTCTTATGAACTGTTTGCCTGGGCTGGCTTTTTTTTTTTTGCAGCTCTGGGGTTTGAAGTTGGGACCTCATGCTTGCTAGGCAGGTGCTCTACTGCTTGAGCCAGTTCACCGGCCCCTGAGCAGCGTTGAACCATGATCTTCCTGATCTCTGCCTCTTGAGTAGCTAAGATTACAGGTGTGAGCCACCGGCACCAGGCATATTTCACTTTTAATTAGAAATAATTTCAAACTTATAGAAAAGTTACCAGAAGAGTATAGAAGATTCCAGTATACTCTTAACCCAGATTCACCCGTTGTGTAACCAGGCTGCAACAGCCTTAATGTCTATTTCTAGGGGCTGCATAGTATTCCACTAAGTATGTATATACCTTGTTTTACCTAATCACTTCTCCCTTGTGAGCAGCTAGGCAAGTTCTTAGCTTTTGCTGTAATACCAAAGCTACAGTGGACTTTCCCCCCGAGTCCTGGGAATGAACTCTTGACCTTCTGCATGCTAGACAAGTGCTCTGCCACTGAAGTGTATATGTATGTGTGTGTATGTGTGTGTGTGTACACACACACATATATATATATTCTTTTTTTCTTTTGCAATGTTTTATAAATCTAACTTTAAAGTCCTATTAATTTTCTTAGGCTGAATTTCTAGGAAGGAATCAGAGGGTAATTTTTGAATGTCCAAGGGGTTTTGTGTATGGGAAATACTTGCTAGTATTTGAACTTTGTTTCATATTCATGTTATTAACCTTTTACATCTGCTGAAGGTTTCACTGAGCCTTTAAACACCTCTCAGCACACTATAAAATGGAAACTTATCCCACTGGTCAGATTCTAAGATACTCACTACAAAGTCAGTTGGTCCTATTTCACCGATAAAGTTTGCTTAGTTCCTTCTTTTTTTTTTTTGTGGTACTGGGGTTTGAACTCAGGGCCTATACTGTGAGCCACTCCATTCCTTTTTTTGTAATTTTTTTTTTTTTTTTTCCCAGATAGAGTCTCGTGAACTATTTGCTTGGGTTGGCTTCAAACTGTGATCCTCCTGATCTCTGCCTCCTGAGTAGCTAGGATTACAGGTGTGAGCCACTGGCACCTGGCTAATGACTGAACCTTGTTAAGAACACTACATCTTAAAAATTTATCTGTTTGTTTATTTATTTATTTATTTTTGCGGCACTGGGGTTTGAACTCATAGCCTCGTGCTTGCTAGGCAGGTGGTGCTGTACTATTTGAGCCAGTCCACCGCAAAGGAGTGGTAATGTCCTGATATGGAAGGTTGGTGGCCATCCACAGATTGAGATCTTTTTTTGTGGTGGTATTGTGGATTGAACTCAGGGCCTATTGCTTGCTAAGCAAGCACTCTACCACTCGAGCCATGCCACCAGCTTCATATTTTTATATAAATTCTTACACCTTGCCTGGATCGATTATGACCTTAGCAGACCCACAAGAGGAAGCCTGTCTCCCCTGGGCCATGGAGCAGGTGCAGAATTACCAATAATGTCTGTTTTGCTATAGCCCTGGGGTGTGTTTCCAGTCAGCCCAACCTTAAGGCCAACATCCTGTAAGGAGCCAAAGCTCATGCACTGCATTGCTGGACTGCCCAGGCACACGCCTGTTCTCTGTGCTGCCTGCCTTCTCTACCTCCATGTTCGTGTTTGGGTAACAGGATGTTCCATCTATATTTGGTTTTGTCCTTATTGATGCATTTTGTGATCTCAAGATGAGCATCTCCATTAGTTCTTCTCTTTGCTGACTGGCTGAGCTGTCAACCATGCTCAATCTTGGCTCCTGTGTGCCACCTGTCTTTCCTGTGCTTGGCACAGCTACTGCTTTTCCAGAGCTCTTGCTTCTTTATAGTTCTCTCTGTGTATTCTTCTCCTTTTATATGGCGAGAGAAAAATCCTTGTTTATCCTTATAAACAAACATGCAGACAACTCAAGAAACAGCTGTTTTTCCACACTCCCTAGTTTGCTTGAATTAATAATATTAACCAGTCTATTCAGCATTTTTATATTGATAAGACTTTTTCTTTTTTTATTGGATAGACTTTTTTTTTCTTTTGTTACCACTTTTGTGTATCATAGACTCCTGGTTTTTCTCAGATTCAGCTTATTCTAATCAGTCTGTTTTTAGTGTTTGAATGGCCCTATCTTGGCCAGTGACAGCCTTAGCAGGTCATTACCCTACCCTTCCATCCTGCAGGGGCTGTGGGGAAGCCCCTGGTTTTCAGATGCAGTGTGGTTTCTAGGACCACATTGAGATGAGTGTAGTGCCCTCCTAGGTTCTTTAGTGGGGAGGACTATTAGAGACCACTACCTGGATGCTCTGGTTTCATTTTGTGTTTTCTTTTATATTGGGCCAGTGTCACAATTTTAAGGACACACTTTGGGCAGAACTGGAGAGGGATTTTTATGGGTATAGGAACAACTTTTATGTACTGCCAATCTAGCTTTGAATAACTACCTGATTCTTTCTCATTGCCTTTCCATTTTTCCCTCCATCCTTTCCTCCTCCTCCCTCTCTCCCTTTCTTTTTTTTTATTTTTCTTTTTTATTTTTGGAGAGAGGGTCTTCCTTTATAGTCCAGGCTGGTCTGAATCTTCCTGTCTAAGCCTCCTGAGTGCTAGGATTATAGGTGTGTACCGCCTGACTTCCACTTCCATTTTAACTTTGTGTTTCCCCTCATCTTTCATATTTCTCTGTTATTGACAACTGTTCCAAAGTCACGTTGTTGATAATTGCCATATTGCTTTCCAAAAACATTTTAACAGCAACACCGGTTTTGGGTGTCAGCCACAGTTGTATGAGTATGCTTGCCAGTATTGGCTGTCTCTGTGTATTGTAAACGTATTTAATCATTGCTCTTATCTACTCATCCCCCATAATTAAAATGCACAGTGCCATCTCTTGTTGCCTTAGGTTGGCCATGAGGCGCTGGTTGAAAACTGCAGTGCTGAGGTAGATGTGAGGACATGCCACATCTGAATGTGATCAGGAGAGACAGAAGGGGAAGGGCTGTAGCCCAAAAGGGACAGCTAAAAGTCAGATGGGCTGTCCTGCCCTCAGCAGTGTTGGGAAAAGGCACAGAGCTTATGCTGCGGTTTGTCCACTTAGGACAGGTAGGCCACTTGAGTCTTACCTCTCTCCTCTGTGTCTGCAGTATGACGCTGTTCCAATTCAGTCCAGCGTGGTGTTATGTGCCTGCCCATCTCCATCAATGGTGAGGACCCAGACTGAGTCCGGCACGGCCTCTGGCATTCCTGGCAGTGTCAGCAGGCAGGGACACACCATGGACAGCACCACAGCTGAGTCCAGGCCAAGTACTAACCCCCTGCAGCATGCTGCCCAGCCACCACCACAGCCTCGAAAGAAACGGCCTGAAGACTTCAAGTTTGGCAAAATTCTTGGCGAGGGCTCTTTTTCAACAGTGAGTATGTCCTTCTGCTGGCGCAGCTGCTGGTTAAACAAGTGTGTTTCCCTTGGGATGGCTGACCATCATGGGGCTTGGAACTATGACACTTAACTCTAGGCCCTTATCAGCTTTCTCCTGCTATGAAGGTCACTGGAGTCTTGGGGAGGGGATTATGTGCAGACTGCGTGAGGAGTGCAGCTAAAACATTTAAACCTAATTCTGTAGATGAAAGGCATAGACGGCATCTCTTGTGTGTAGTGTTACCCACCTGTAGTCCCACTACTCAGGAGGCTAAAGCAGGAGAATCACTTGAGCCCCAGGAGTTTGAGGCCAGCCTGGACAAACATAGTAAGACCATGTCTCAAAGAAGAAAAAGCATCTCTTTATTTATGTTTTAAAATAAAACAAAACAAAACAAAAACACACAGGTAAGCTGGGTGCCAGTGGCTCATGGTCCTAGCTACTTGGGAGGCTGAGAGCAGAAGGATCATGATTTGAGGCCAGCCCAGGCAAATACTTTGCAAGACCCAGTGTCTAAAATAACCACAGCAACAAAAATACAAAAAACAAACAAACAAACAAATAGAGCAAAATGGACTGGAGGTATGGCTCAAGTGGTAGAGTGACTTCTTTGTAAGTGCTATCTTTGCAAGTGTCAAGCCCTGAGTTCAAATGCCAGTCTTGAGGGCTCGAGAACTGGCTCAAATGGTAACAGCACCTGCCTAGCAAGCATGAGGCACTGAGTTCAAACCCCAGTGCTGCCAAAAAAAAAAAGTTTGAATTGATAGATACGCCAAATGCCAGTCTTATCAAACAAGGAAACAAACAAAAAAAACCACAGTTAAATTTCATTCTAACCTGACAGCAGCAAGTTACATTCTGTGTCCTACTGTCCCCTCTGGAGAGGCCATGAGAAACTTCTCAGTTCCTTAGATTGAAAGTTAATGTCAGTTTTAGTATCTTCAGAAATTTTTTTGGTAACATTAAATAACCTTTTTTGCATCTCTGGTTTGTGATTTTCATTTTTTTTTCTTGCTTACTTTAATGCATAAAGTAGTACATTTGCTTAGAGATTAGGCCCCCACATTCTTGGTTTTCAGTTCTATAAACAGAAACATTGTCTCCATGCTGACAAATCACATTTATGAGATATACCTATTTCTGGTGTTTTTTTTTTTCTCTGAAATCAAAGAAAGTTTGAAGCCAACAGCCCCTTTCTTGAGGGGGTGCTGATGAGGCTGAGTAGCTGGGTTTACATGGTTCACAGAAGTCTCAGGATGCACATTTCAGATAAGAAGTGTTTGGTGGGTATGATGCTGTATACCTGTAATCTCAGCTTCTCAAGAGGTGGAGGCAGGAGGATTGTGAGTTTGAGGCCAGTCTAGACAAAAAGGTACTGAGATCTTGTCTTAAAAACAAAATGAAGCCTGGGTGTGGTGGCTCACACCTGTAATTCCAGCTATTTGGGGGTCAGAGATCAGGACGATTGTGGTTCAAGGCCAGACTGGGAAAAATTAGCAAGACTCCATCTCAAGCTGAGCATGGAGGTGCATACCTGTGATCCAAGTTACCTAAGAGGTTGTAGGTAGGAGGATCAAGGTCTAAGATGGCTGTTGGTAAAAATGTAAGACCTTATCCAAAAAACAACAGAAGCAAAAAAAGAGCTGGAGCATCCTGGAAGTGGTAGATTACCTGCTAAGCAAACCTGAGGCCCTGATCTCAAACCTTAGTATTGCCAAAAAAATAAAAAAGGTTTAGGAGGTATAGCTCAAGTAGTAGAGCACTTGTCTAGCATATGTGAGGCCGTGGGTTCAATACCCAATACCACAAAAAAAAAAAAAGAAGAAAGAGAAATTTTTGTTTTTCTTGTAGCACTGGGGATCAAACCCAGGGCCTTTGGCAGGTTAGTAAGGCATCAGGGTTCACATTCTGAATCCAAAGAGCCTCTGTAAAAGCAGATTCCTCTTCAGGATGGCCTCCTTGCATGGTCTCTGTTCTAAGATGGCCTCTGTTCAGGGTAGTCCATTCTGGATAACCAGTCTGTCTTATCTGGCCCTGTGAAGAATCTTTATGTGAAAATTGTTTTCTTTTTCTTTTACATTTTTGAAAGATTCTAAAATACAAAGAACATGATCTGCAGCTCATCTATGTTCCCAATATTTTGTTTAAATGGATGTTAACTTTTTCAGCCTTTATGCTTTCAATTTCAATTTGAAAAAAAAATTAATTAATTGGTGAGACTGGGATTTTGAACTAGGGCTTTGCTTGAGCTATGCCTCTAGCCTTTTTTGCTGTGGTTGAAGGTAGAGTCTCACTTAATGTTCAAGCCAGCCTGGACCGAGATGACAGGCTCATGCCACCACGCCCAGCATTTTTCTCTTGAGATGGGGACTTGCAAACTTTTTTGTCCATACTGGCCTGGAACTGCGATCCTTGCCATATCAGCCTCCCAAATAGCTTGGGATGACAGGCACATTCCAGTGTGTCCAGCTATTGGTACAGATGGGGGGGGTCTCATAAACCTCTTGCCTGGGATGGTCTAGAATCATGATCTATCTCAGCCTCCCAAGTAGCTAAGATTATAGGTGTGAGTACTGGTACCAGGCTAGATTTTTAAAATAGCAACTTCTGTGAAATAATTTTGTTTTTAGAAGGATTGTACCCTGATTTAAAAAAAAGCCTTCAACCATATAGTTTCCTGGGGTTTGTACATGGCCACTTAGGACAGTTCAATGAAAGTACTCTCCTGGTCTCTGTTTTACCTCAGTTTTACTCCTTTACATTTATTTTACTAAAAATGAGGATTTACATGTGGTATTGCCCTTGTCCCTGGGTTTCTGTAGGGATACAAATGAGGCACCATCCTTTCTGGGTGATGTGGTCACTGTTCTTACTCTGTGCTGTTTTGAACATGTGCCATGAGGTATCTGGGAAAGCACTGCCAGCCAGAAAAAGTCCTTCCCTGGCTGTTTGGAACCTGCAGCCCTGGATCTCAAGTTAGGTATTACCCTCCCTCTGATCTTTCTCACCATTCCTGAAATAGTAAGCACTTAGAATTAAGATTTCTAGGGGAGGGGTAAAGGTGGGTGCAGTTATCAGGTTGAGCAGAATCTTAACTTAGCAGACCCTGGTCCTGGAGAACAGGCAGGCTCCTGAGGACTCCATGATGACCCAAGGTAGTCCTGCTATCGTGGTGACATGGAGGGAATCAAGCATCACATGTGATTTTCTGGAAGAGGACCCTCTGTTCCCGTGGGAAACCTGCTTATGAAATGCTAAATTTAGACAACAGAAAGATTATATAAATATATTTTCAGAAAGGATTCCCCTAAATGGTAGTGCTCTCTAACAGCTCCTTCCCTTCATACAAAGCTAGCATTCATGCTTATGAAGGGTACAACATTACATAAATACAAAACCAGAGAGGGATGGTCTACCCTCACTCACTGTCCTCACTCAGGTGACAGGGAGCCGTCCTTACACAGATTGTTCATTCAGAAAGACCTTTAAGATCTTTCTACCTGAGTGCATTTAACCCAGCCTTGTTCCTGATAATGCAGACATCTCACAGTGATTTTCCAGGATCAAGTTTGAGGAGCTCTGTCAAAGGCTGTGACTTACCACCAGGGGCAGGTTCACATGTGGCCTTCCAAGATCTTCCCACCAGGCCCAGAGATTTTATGGGGACAGGCTTCATCTTCTTTTGGTCCTTAAGCCAACCTCTGCAGGTATCTTAGGAGACACATTGGTACATACTGGCCATGGTAGGGTAAAGCTTTCATGGCAGAGTTGTCCTCTGCATGCTCTGACCAAACCTTGGACCCATCCACTATTTCTACTTTGGTGCCTTGATGTGCCCAGGGTTTGCTAGTGCAGAATGATCTTTTTCATGTGGAGACTCTTTCCCTGAGTCTGAGTACAGGCTCAGGTGTGCTCTGAGAGGTCATAGAAGGCAACATGGGGGCATCCTGGAAAGGCAGCTTGGTTCTGTGCTGGTTTAGTTCCCTGTGTGTTTTGTAGCTATGATCGAGTTCTTGTCATCAAATGAAATATGTGCTTACAATTATTTGGAAAAGCCTGAGTTTTGCAGTGGACATATACTGAAAGGACATATCTTTGAAGTTACTATCACTTGAGCCTCTCCACCAGTCCTTTTTGCTGTTTTTTTTTTGTTTGTTTGTGGGCTTGGGATTTGAACTCAGGACCTCACACTCACAAAGCAGGCAGTCTACTGCTTGAGCCACACCTCCAGTCCATTTTGCTCTGGTTATTTTGGATATGGGATCTTGTGAACTATTTGCCCAGGCTGGCCTTGAACCGTGCTCCTCACCATCTCAGTCTCTCAAGTAGCTAGGATTACAGGTATGAGCCAGCAGTACTCAGCTTCTGGTTATTTTTGAGATAAGGTCTCACTGTTTGCCCAGACTGATGTGGACCATGATCCTCCTTTCTGTGCTTCCTGCCATCATTAGAATGACAGGTGCATGCCACCATGCCCAACTTTTTCTGTTGAGATGGGGTGTTAGAACTGGAACTTTTTGCCTGGGCTGGCTTGGAACCATGATTCTTCCATCCCAGCCTCCAAGTAGCTAGGATGACAGATGAGCAGTACTACACCCAGTTATTGGTTGAGATAGGGTCTTGTAAACTTTATGCCTGGGCTGGCCTGAACTGTGATTCGTCCTTCCTATCTCAGCCTCCCGAGAATGGTATGGGCCACTTGTAGTGGTATTTGGGCATGATAGTTTATGAGGTTGTTGAATTTATACTTTCACTGCACTTTGAGGACTACAGACCTTCTGAAAGCAATGGAGAGACTTATATGTTTATTGTTAACTATTAGAACAGATTAGCATGAGCCATGGCTTTCTTCTCTATTTGTTAGAACTGGACTCAAAGTATTTAAGTGTAATTTCAAGACTTGTATGGGGATGGGGAAGCCTGTGCAGTGCAGGAACCTGTCAGATTCCATTTCCTGGTATTATAATATGTTTTTTCTCTTTTCTTCTCAAATCAGGTTGTCCTGGCTCGAGAACTGGCCACCTCTAGAGAATATGCTAGTAAGTACTAACCCCTGTGTGCTGTCTGTCTGGGATTCAGGGACAGCGCAGCCTCCGTGCACAGCCTGGGTGGCAGGGCCTGGAGGTTTCTGTGTGAATTAAGGGTCTAAGACAGAGTTGATCTTAGTGACCATGAAGCTGATGTGGGTGATTTTGGAAAAACTACAGTGTATGTCAGTTACCTTTATAAATTGCATCTTTACTATTTTTCTTCTTTTCCAATTATAATAACTCATTTCTCTCTTACCTTAAGTTAAAATTCTGGAGAAACGTCATATTATAAAAGAGAACAAGGTCCCATATGTAACCAGAGAGCGAGATGTGATGTCGCGCCTGGACCACCCCTTCTTCGTTAAGCTTTACTTCACATTTCAGGATGATGAAAAGTTGTGTATCCTTTGCATGGTCAACACAGTCTGAAATCATACCAACTGCCCTCTCATTTTGAAATCATGGCTCCATTGTTTGTTCTCAGTAGTAACCCCTTCCCCTGAAAGTAAAGGGGTCGATGTGGATCTTACCCCTGTTCCTCTTGGACCCCGGCAAGGGGTGGGGGGAGGTCAACATTCTTGGAGGCTGTGAACATTTGCTGCAGCATGGCTGAGGTGTGTGTCATTCTCTGAAGGGGACACAGTCTTGAGGTTTTTACTGATAAACATCATAGCTGATGGATTGTTATTTATTATTTTAACCCTGGTTGCTAGACATTCATACAAATGGTATCAATTTGATCCTGCCACAGGATCAGATTTGTTCTGATGAGGGAGTGCCAGTTGCCTGGGTAGCTGCAGTCAAGTACATAGACCTTGCTTTCAAATGAGGCCAGAGAGGAAGAGTGAGCTCAGGCATCCTCAGTATCCTGGAGTGGGCATTGGCTCCTCTCTGCCTTCAGCCTTGGAGTATGGGATTTGGTTGGAAGGGACAACTTTACTGGGCATTTGAAAAGTCTGGGGAGTGGCCAAAATCCAGGGCACTGTCGTCCTCCCATGGGTGCTCTGCCTATCAGTATGTAAGCTTCCTCAGCAGCTCTTGTTCTCTGTGACTATCCTGACTGCCTCTCCAGCAGATTCACCCTCCTTTGCATTCTTCATTTTGTCCACATTCCTTATTCCTCTGACATCTGGGAATACTGTCTTTTTCCTTTTGCTTAGGAGTCAGGGAGACAGGTCCATGGATGTTAGGGCAGGCCACACTTCTTGGCCTCCAGCTCACTGCTGGACCAGGCAGGTGGGCTGTCCTTGCTCCCAGCAGGTGCTCTTCCCTTAAGTGGAGCTCGTTCCCCTTCCCTGTCTTCTCCTGGCCATCTTCAAAGGTGGTTCAAGCTTCCAAGGGCTTGGCTTTGCCGTTCTACCTTTTTTTTTTTCCTTCATTTTATTTTATTTATTTATTTATATTCATTTATTCACACGTGCATACAATGTTTGGGTCACTTCTCCACCCTGCCCCCCTTCCTGCCATTCCATCTTGACGAAGGGCCCAGTTCCTCTCCATTCTGCCTCTCTGTGCCATTCCTATTCCACACCAGTTCTTCTATGTTAAAACTTTGTTCTATCCTGCTCCCATCCTTTTTTTGTGTGTGTGGTGGTGGTGATATTGGGGTTTGAACTAGGGCTTCACATTTGCTAGGCAAATGTTCTACCACTTGGGCCACTTGGCCAACACCTCCCATTTAAAAAAAAAAAAATTTTTTTTTTTCTAGTCCAGGGCCTCATCATTCTAAGCATACGCTTTACCACTGAGCCACATCACCAGCCCTCTGTTGGCTGGATTTGTTTGTTCTTTTGTTTCTTTAAAAGTGCTTGTTGTGTGTAGGGAGGTGCTGGTAAGCAAGGGGAAGGCTTGCCCTCCTTCTTCAGGTAGGAGTTACATGTACATAGAATATCGAGAGGCATGTCATAGTCTCTAGAGAGCAGGACCAGCTGGCAAGAGCAAGCCAGGATGTCTCCAGTGTGAGGCTGTTTGAGCTCAGTGGACCAATGAGAAGCATGTGGGCCTTGAGGGATAGCCCTGAGATGGGAATGGGCCATCTCTTTGAGCCATGATGACTTGGCACCAATTTTGGATTTTCTCCTAGTTGTGGTGGTGAGCACAGAATTTGCTCTGATTCTAGCCCCTCATGGTCCATGCTGGGAGAAAACAAAGAGTTGGGTGGCTCCTGGTGTTTGCCCTCAGAACCTGGTATAGAGTATTATCTGTTACTGAGCCTAGAGAGACTGGGCAGTAGCTGAACTGAGGATGGATACTGGGTTGGCATTTGATATATCTGCTGGTACTTGCTGTTTGAGGGCCAAATGGGCCTCTGGGTGGCTGCCGGCAGAACCCTGAAGGTTCAGGGACATGCAGATCCAAAGTTAACGGACTGCCTGGCCACCTCGTGGATGATGGCAATGGGATATGGAGCCCAGAGGCCACAGGATCAAATTTATTCTGATAAGGGGGTTACAGTTGCCTGGCGAGATGTAGTCAAGTACATAGACCTGTGCCTGGCCAGGGGATTTACTTCATGCAAGTTGTTCACAGTTGGACAGGCAGTTTTCTCAGGGGCAGGGTTCAAGACAGTAGCAGGAGAGGTAGTGGAGACATACTGAATGAGTTCTTCCTGGAAATCTCACTTAGAGAGGAGCAGTGAGTGGTCCAGTATGTGGTGGGCATGTTGATCGTTTGTTTTGGTTCTGATAGAATGTTGGTGTCTGGATGGGGCCTGCTGTTTCCCAATATTATTATCTCTGGTCTCCACCTCTAGCCCCACCTCCATTGGTACTGCTCATACAGCAGCCATCAGTGACCCTATCTCTTTCACCTCTGTGACTGCCTCCATCCCTTCCTTGTACCTCCTGGGGCCTCGTGACCACACCTCTTTTTGAGTCTATGGGATCTCTTATTACCAGGCATTCAGAGATCCTGGCCTGGGCTTCCTGGGAGCCTTCAGACAATGCTTCTTTTTGGTCTTGAAGGTCTGTTACTAGTCAGCTTTATATTGCCTCCACAAAATGCCTGTGGCAGCTTTATGAAGAGAGACTTATTTAGCTCACAGTTTAGAGGCTGCAAATCTAAATGGCATGGTACAGGCTGTGGCCCTGTGGCAGATAATGGATGGTGGAACATGTGCGGAGGAAGGGTCACATCTCAAGCCAGGGAGCTGAGAGAGTGGGCAGGGTGGGGCTTGCTTCTTTCCTTACAACCCTCTCTTGAGAATTACCAAGCAAAGGGGAACTGCCTCCTATCTAGTGACCCAAGGATCTCTCACTAGGCCCACCCTCTTAAAGGTCCCACCATCTCCCAGTACTGCTACCCTGTGGACCAAGCCTCTAATCACATGTACCCTTGGAGGCCACCCAAACAATATCCAGGTGGGACAGAATCACACACACTTGATGTCTTCTTCTCCTGGGGTCAAAGCCCAGACATGGATGCTCTTGCTGTCTAATTTCCATATGGGACTGGCCAGAGTACTACAGGTGGAGAGGTCTCTAGGTTTTTTGTCTAGTGGCACATACTGTTCTTGATCATTAAGACAAATGCCAGAGTACTGGGAGGTCATGAAGGTTTACTTACGTCCCACAAGAATGAGACAAGTGACTTCTGCCCCACTTGGAATCTTGGTGTATATTGTGTTGAGAAAGAAAAGAAAATGAAACTTAGCATGGAGAAATGCCCAGAAGTGACACCATCCTCCCTTTAGCCATGATTTTCAGTGAGAGGGAGAGGGGAGTGGTTGCTCATGTGCACTTAGCTATCTCACTGCACTCATGTGACTGGATGATGAACTCACCTACCCTGAGGACTGGTGAGGTGAGGCAGAGCCTGGGGACACCCCTGCCACGGGCTGACAATAGGCAGATGGATCGTGAAGTTCTTCACCAGATGTATTGCCAGAAGGTTAGAGTAAGCACAGAAATCCAGCTGAGCAAAGGTCCTCTCCTAGTTTGGTGTGACTCTGGCTTGATCAGAGCCTGAGCAGTGAGGACTTTCTTCTTCGTGCACAGATAAAGACTGAAGGGGTGTCAGATGCTGTTGCTTGCTGCCTGGCCACCTTCCTCTAGCTCCTACTATGCTGGTGTGCACCTGCAAGTTCACAGCATGAATCTTGATTGCAGGATGGAGTCACGAACATTGCCCTGTCCTCCTTTGCTTTGTGACCTTGAATCAGTTGCTTAATCTCTGGGCCAGCTTCTTCCTCTGCACATTTCAGGCATTAGGCTTCCAGGCTCCGTAGTGCTATTCACAGGCTTGGTCTGTACTTGTCTTCCCAGGAGCTTGCCCAGTCTGTGCCAGAGAGGACAGCTGCTGCCCTGGAGCACTAAATATGACTGAGGGGGATGTGTGGTGGACTGATGAGGTCTAAAAGAGTGCCCTAGGATGAGGAAGGCATTGATTGCAGAGTACTGGCAACCTGAGCAGTAATCCTGGGTTCTGCTGCTGAATAGAGAACCAGAGGTATTCCTCACTCAGAAAACATGAACCAGTAAGGGGTCAGATAAAGGGCAAAATCATGAAGCTGAAAGAGGCAAGAAGCTGTCCTCAGCCCTGGCTGTGACAAGGTTGAGTCTCACATCTGGGCTCCTAATTAGTGAGGCCCTGGGCAGCCCAGGTGGGGCCAGATCTGGTGGCTCCGTGGCAGCAGCCTCCCTTGTGAGGGAGCAGGCAGGGTGAGGGATGAGGTGAGAGGGCCTGGCCAAGACCCTCTGCATTCCCCCAGAGTAATAAAGAAGGGCTTACTTTCTGTTTTTTTTTTTAAACATTGTCCTAGTTGGGAGGCATGAATGATTCAGAGATGGGCCTGGAAAAGGGACAGCTTTGGCTGTGGTCTCTTCCCTCTTAGGTTTGTCCTCACTGCTCTGGAGCCTCAGGATCCTTTCTTGGTGGAACATGGAAGGGCCTTGGCTGACAGAATCACAATAGAATTAAGAAACCCACCCTGAGCATGAGCCAGTCTTAGAATGTGACCTCCAGAGCCTCTGCTCAGGATGGTGTCCCAGCCTGTCAGGGAGTAGTACCTGGAGGTTTCCACTAAGAGGCGCAAGTGTTCAGTGCTTCCAAGGAAAACAGTTACATGGAGCTATTTCTTGTCAGCCTCAGTCCCCTTGGAAGGAGGGGACTACAAATGGAACACATCGTGCTGAGAAGAGGCTGGCTGTCCCTTGTGCCTCTCTCCAGCAAATAGAGCACATGAATCTGACAAATAGAGCAAGTGAATCATGATATTAAGAAAATGAGTCTTCACTTACAAAGCATGTCACTTTCATGCATGGAAGGAGTAGCTGCATGTGTGAACTGTTAGTGCAACGTGGGGCACAGCAGGTTTAGGCACAGCTCACAGCTACAGCCCTAACCTCAAGGTTCTGTTAGGATCCTGTCTTCCAGAGCTGTGTTCTCTGCACTTGAAACTGCCCGTATGTTATTTGTGCCTTGGCCAGGGGCCAACAGCCTGACAGCCATCTAGTAGTTCCTTCTCACAGGCCATAGACACCTTTTGGGACCATATGTCCAGAAGGGCAGTCCGGGTTGAGAGATGCTGTCCATGTTTTTCCAGAGACTGTATTATTGTGTTCTTAGAGGGAAACCTGCACTGGTTCCTGGTCTTGGAGCCAGGCTTGCATCTGACTCAAAAAAATCGTGACTGTCTTGGAGCACAGGTACCTTCAGTTTGCATTTAATAAAAATTTCTTACTGGGCTCTTAAGGTTAGTTTTTAAAAATAATTTTCCCATTCTTCCTTAACTGTACAATATTCAGATTTTGGCCTTAGTTATGCCAAAAATGGAGAACTACTTAAATATATCCGCAAAATTGGTTCATTTGATGAGACCTGTACCCGGTTTTACACAGCTGAGATCGTGTCTGCTCTAGAGTACCTGCATGGCAAGGGCATCATTCACAGGTAACAGAGGTCACCCAGGGCAGTGCTTGTAGGACAGTCACTGTAATGATTAGGGCCAGTGGCCATGTGACCCACAGCTACATCTGATGCCCAAACTACTAGTCCTCTGGGTCAGTACTGGCTTACTTTTATGGATGGTTTGACATAGGTGCCAAGTGGTAGCTCAATGTGAGAGCTAAGAAAAGGCCGGAAGTGAAAAGAATCTGTACTTGGAGAGTCTCACCATTAATCATCAGGTCAATGTGGCTAGGTGGCTTCTGCCAAGCCAGCAGTTCATATTGTCTTGACTGGTGGTTTTATTTTGTTACTTGTAGCTTTTTTGTCTACTTATTTCTGGTCTCATTTCCCATGACTTTATTTGATAGAATCAAATCAAAAGTATTCATAAGCTCTTTATGAATTAAAAATGATAGATTATTTCTCCACAAAAAGTTTATTAGAAGTGATGAGTATAGTTATAAAGTGATGTAATTCAAATGTCCTTATTGTATGCATTTGATATTTATTCAGTGTGAACTTTGGACTTGCATTCTTGGATGTTAGTCTGTAAAGATGATAAGTATTCATCAGTTCATTATGTTTTTATTAAAATGTTAAGTATGTAATAATGCTGCTCTTTGAAGTACTTCATCTCAAATGTAAAAATCTTTTCAGGGACCTGAAACCAGAAAACATTTTATTAAATGAAGACATGCACATCCAGATCACAGACTTTGGAACAGCAAAAGTGCTATCCCCAGAGAGCAAGCAAGGTGTGTGAGCTTGACTTCCATTAGAGCTTTGCTTTGTACTTAAGCTGAAGTCAAGAAATGTGTTGCATTGTGTCATCTTCATTGTTAATGTAGGGTTTGTGGTGCCTGTGCTGGGTCCCCACTGTGGGGCCTCAGGCAGCATGTGGTGGAGGAAGGAAGGGAGAGACTCAGGATCTTCCACAGTGCTGGTGTCACATCATGCCTTCTCATCTGCACACCAGACATGGCATTGGCTTCTCTAGATGCTGCGGGTAGTGTCTCAGGGAGCACGTTTTTGGATCCCTGATTTTAGGGAGGTTCTAGAAAATTACAACAGTTGGCGATTGATTTTGCTGCTAGTGTAATTGCTGACCCTCCAAGTTCTGTCCCTTGGGGTAGCATCTAGCTTTGAATCACACTATGACACCTGCAGAAGTGCTATGAAGAGTCTACTGCGGCTGAGAAAGTGGCTAGGGCCATCTTAATAGCCAGGGGACGACTCACTGCTTTTCTAGTGCTCACTGGATAGAAACTTCATACTCAGGAGGTATAAAAAAAGTGCAGTTGAACTCCGGGACTACACTATAGCACTAAGGATGCAGTGTGGAGGAAGGGAAGCTGTATTATGGTTAATAAGTGACCTTGCAAAGGAACCTGGGTACTGAGACATGCGTGATCGCCAGAGCTGCCTGGCCTCTTCACTGCACCTAGGGTTCCTGTGAGACAAAGACCTTGAAGGAAAGTACTGGGGAACATGTGCTGGCCACAGGCTTGGAGTGTAGGTATGTTGGTGGTTGAAAGATTATGACAGAAGACTGGAGGTGTGGCTTAAGCAGTAGAGTGCTTGCTTTGCAAGCAGGAAGCCCTTAGTTCAAATCCCAGTCCCATCAAAAAAAAAAAAATTGACCTTGCTGGGTGCCAGTGGCTCACACCTGTCATCTTAGCTACTCAGGAGGCAGAGATCAGGAGGATCAAGGTTGGAAGTCAGCCTGGACAAATAGTTCCATGAGACCTGATCTCAAAAAACCCATCACAAAAAAGGGCTGGTGGAGTAGCTCAAGGCGTAGGCGCTGAGTTCAAACCCCAATACTGCCCCCAAAAAAGAAAAAAAAATTCTGACAGAATCTTTGGTTATGGTTCCACGACTGCGCTCTAGAAAAGGGATGCAGGAGCACAGTGCAGTGGAACTTCTGGCCTCTCCACCAATGGCAGTCTGGTTCTTTGGAGCCTGAGAGGATTACAGCCAGGAGGAGAAAGAGAGTCCAATTTACAGATGTGGGTTCTAACCACACAGTGCTGCTGAGAGTCAGCCAGCTGGCTTCCCCGCATGGAACCTTGTATTTCTTGTGTTTCCTCAGTGCTATTCACATGGAGGATCCATGCGATTCTTTTGCTGCTTTCCCAGCCCCAGGAGACTCTTCATAGCATGTCTGCAGGTGTCATAGTGTGATTCAAAGCTAGATGCTACCCTAGGGGACAGAACTTGGAAGGTTAGCAATTACAGACAGACACATGACCGACAGCAGCAAAAGTACAGATTCTAGCTATGCTTTACCACTGTGCAGTCCTTGAGGCACCAGGTCTCCTTTGCGAGTCCTAACACACTATCCTTGGGAATGAAGGAAGCCTTGGTGTTAAGGAAGAAGCTGTTTTTTTTTTTTTTTTTGTCTTTTCCTTTTGCGGTACTGGGCCTACACCTTGAGCCACTCTACCAGCCCTTTTTTGTGAAGGGCTTTTGTGAGATAGGATCTCACAAACTACTTGCCCAGACTGACTTTGAACTGTGATCCTCCTGATCTCTGCCTCCTGAGAGCTAGGATTATAGGCGTGAGCCATCGGCACCTGCTAGGAAGAGGCTGTTGTTTCCTCAGGTAGCATAACCTGGTACCCTCGCTTCCCTCCTGGCACTTCTGAGATGACTCAAAACCTGAATATGTTTGACTCATTCCTAATAATAGGATTAGCTGGTAATCCTATTTTTCATGGACTCAGTGTAACTTCTAGTGATAAGCATTGTCCATGACATGGTAGAACCAAAGCTTTCTTATGAGAAGTCTATCAGTTCCTCATTATGCCTGTGCTGACTTTTCCCACCTGAGACAAGCCCACTGTGTCCTAGAGGGCAGCTGGGTTGTACTCTGGGCATTTCTTCCTTTATGCAGATTTTCTTCAGAATTGGATAATTTAGCCTTATAGCCACTTAAAATATATAAAATTTTGAATTTCTCAGTGAACTCAGAATAACTCTTTTCTTTCCTATTTGGAAGAAGGAGGCTGTAAGTCCTTAAATTGTTGTAACCGAGGGTCAAGTGCTTGTGTATATAGAGGAGGTGGAAGGGTTTTCTCCCTTCCTAGAGAAAAAGAGAATGGTGTGATTCTTTTTCTTTTTAGTAACTCATTCTCACTTCTGTTTGATATTGTTCAGAAACTTAGAATTTATTCCTGTGTTGGCTTTTTTTTTTTTTTTTTGGCAATATTGAGGTTTGAACTCAGGTCCTCACACTTGTTAGTTGTGTTGGCTTCTTTTTACTTTTGTGGGAAGATAGTTTCCCAAGAACATCTTGAAAGTTTGTAGAATAGAGTGCTTGTGGGACAAGGCTCCAAGTTCCTTATTTGTGTAGTGGTTGCACCCCTCCTCCTAGGGGTCTGTCGCTTTGTCACAGACTGCTATCCCAATGGTTCTGTGTGGCCTGTGGTCACAAGGGAAGGTGATAGCCAATGGAGCAGCGCAGCTGTTCAGGGCCTGTGGGCCAGTGAGGACTTCTGACATTGACCTCACCAAGGGTCCTGTGGATGTGTCCTACCTAGTGAAGGCAATTTAATCACTTGAAGTGAGCCTTACGTCTCTCCTGGCCTTTGCCCTGTCTCCAGGAGGCTTGGGGAAACACCAGGGTATCCTGGAAGTTTAGATTTGGGATTGTTTCCTGGAAACTTACGTTCTAACCTTTTTGGTATTCATTCGGATATGGAGGCTCCACTCAGCAACAGGAAGGAGATTAGGGCAGCAGGTGTGGGTCCATGGCCAGAGAGCACAGATAGGAAGGCTTCTGTCATCGCTGTGCTCTGCAACCCCACTTTGGACAGACGGCCATTGTCCAGAGCCTCAGATCAGTCACTGCTTCCCTTCCTGCTGAGCTGTGGACTCAGAAAACCCTCTCACAGCCACCTTGGCCTTGACACCATTCTCACATGGCCAGTTTAATAGGTTATCATGTTTTAATTGGACTCTCTTTGGTTCACTGCTTGGTTGAATATCTTCATTTGGGTTTGGCTCTTTGGTTTTCTTTCCTCTTGAGTCTCTTCAGTGTTCTTGGCAGTATCTTTTGGGATACTTGTGTAGCCTTGAAGCCTTCACAGAAGACCATGTATTGAAGGGACCGTTTATAGGGCTGAGGGACCATCCAGGCTGGGTCCCTGCAGTGGGACTGGGAGCTTCCCTCAACACCTGGAGGGTCCAGGTGGGAGAGGGCAGCTTAGAACCAGCTTGCAGGCAAGACAGGTGATAGCAGCCACTGTGAGGAACCCTAGCTTTCCTAGTCACTAGAGCAGAAGGAGTTAGGCCAGCTATAGTGCTGCTTTGCTGTGCAGCAGTCTTCGGGGCTGTGGGATGACTAGGGGTCTCCAGTGATGAATGGGTCCAAAGCACCTGGGTGCCAGCCCTGTTGCCTGCAGGTGAGCATTGCATAGGGCAGGATTGAAGGTGCCAGAATGTGGAGTGTCCCTGGGCTAGAGGCCCTTGTAGCTCCTGAACCCCTGCACTATTGGTGACTGAAAAGAGGGTGGTCCCTGGCCTGCAGCTGTTTGTTGCAGGTGCCATGTATCCAGCATTGAGCTCAACAAACAGGACCCCTGTCCTCATGCTGCCCCATTATAATGACAGGGTGATGGGTGAATGTGACGAGTGCTTTCTGCAGTCCAGTGTCAAGTGGGAGGTGCCAGAGAGGAGAGTGCAGTGTTCTGGGGCCCACAAGTGTTGTTGGGTCTGGATAGTCGTGCTCCTGGGAGTGTTCCATTCATCAGCACTGAGCTGATCATGAGTTTCTGTCTGTTGTGTGTAGATGACGACATCCTGAGGAACACACCAGCATGGGGCCACTGTGGTTGAAGACAAGGGACTGTGCCTCAAAGTGTGACCTTTTCTCTTTTTCCTGTTCTCAGCCAGGGCCAACTCGTTCGTAGGAACAGCACAGTATGTTTCTCCAGAGCTACTCACAGAGAAGTCAGCCTGTAAGAGGTAACCTACTTTTATCAAACTGCATTTCTCTCTATAGTAGCTACCAAGTTTTTGGTAATAATTGAGAGAGGGATTTTAGTGACTTGTAAATGGTCAAGCATAGGCTCAATGTGGTGGTGCATGCCTATAATCCCAGTATTCAGGAGAAGGAGGCAAGAAGATCATGAGTTTGATGCCAGACTGGGCTACATAGTGAGACCTGTCTCAAAAGGAACAAACAAAAGGGGCCAACCACACTTTGAAGGGCGGGGGAGAGCGGGGGGCGATTCTGGGGTTACTCAGGGCCTCATACTTGCTAGGTAGGCATTCTTACTGCTTGAGCCACTGTGCCAGCCTAGTCTATTGCTTTTTAATCTGTACTTTTTCTTTGATACACATACATGCTGCTTCATATTTTATACTTCTGGATTGGTTGGTGCTTTTTTCTTTTTTCTTGTTCCTTTAGAAAAGCTGCTCAGTGGGGAAGTGTGGCTGCCATGCTGCAGGGCTGCAGCAGCCTCACACCTGCTATTCAATGTCACAGCTCTACTGAGGTGGGTGGAGATCCTAGAGGGACAGGTGGAGGAGGCTTCCAGCCTGGGGCAGCCAGTAGTGGATCAGGCCTGGCAGTGGTCAGAAGCGTTGAGGGTCTTTGAGAGATGCAGCTGGGCCTTGGTGGCCTCAGTTGTGAATATTATAAGCATGAGATGGTGGAGGGAACATGGGGCTGGCACTGGAACAAGGGTGGTTTCTGTTTGCAAGATCAGAGGTTAAAAAGTGGAGAAGGGTCATTCTGCAGGGCTTGGCTGGGCAGCAGAGGGCAGGAGGACCAACATCCCAGGGCCAAGACAGTCAGAGGTGGCATTAGAATCTGGGTTTAAGGTTTAGGGAAAACAAGTCCAGGCAACAGGGTCTGTGGAATGAAGTGTGGCTGGGCTCTTCCCATCCTGTCCAGTCAAACTCTGTGTGACGCCTGGTTTGGGTCCTACTGCTCCACCTGTTGGTACCCTCCCTTGAAGACCACACTGTCAGTGTCCTGCTCTGTCAGGTTATAAATGACTGCCCCTGTAAGAATGAGCTTAACACCTCTGTTTCTGAACTTGACAGTTTTAGAAACTACAGTGGAGCCACAGGTACAAACATGATGACCTGACAGAAGGATGCTCTGAAAATTAAGCTTGGGGATCTCACTGGTATCAGGCTTTTGTGTTTTTTAACCTTATTCAGATTTTGGATTCTTGGGTTTTTTTCGGGGGGAGCAGGCAATATTGGAGTTTGAATTCAGTCCTCACATTGTTAGGCAGGCATGCTACCACTTGAGCCACTCCACCAGTCCTGTTTTGTGTTGGGTGTTTTCAAAATAGGGTCTCTCAAACTATCCACCAGGACTGGGTTCAAACTGTGATCCTCCTTATCTCTGTCTTCTGAGTAGGATTACAGGCATGAGCCATCAGCACCCAGCAGATTTTGGTTTCTTAGCACAGGCCAGACATTGTTCTGGAATTGCCTGAACAGCTCTGTCTGTTCCAAGCTGCCCAATGGGAACATTTCTGCTCCTTGGGATACTTGGCGTATCGGGAGTCAATTTTGGTTGTCACGGTTGGGTGGGGGCTATTGGTCTACAGTGGCTGGAGGCAAGGATGCTGCTTCCCATCCTTTGGTGGAGCAGAAGATGCTCTGGCCGACATCTGAGGTGCCAGGTAGGGGTACTGTACCCCCAGTTTTCTGGTGTGTATTGCTGCTGCCCTACAGCAAGCCTCTCCTTGCTATTGGTTCCTCCCAGGGCAGTGAGCTCATCTGCATAGATGGGAAAGTGCTCCAGTCACATGGACCACATTGTGCACGCAGGGTGTGCGGCTCATGTTCTCTAGGAAGATAGATGAAATAAGAAGAAAATGGGTTCTGTGGGGTAGGAACAGTGCTCCTAGTGAGGGAGGCATCACTGTGGCAAATACTAATTTTTTTCTGATTTTTAGAAGGGATTCCTTGCTGGGTGCTGGTGGCTCACGCCTGTAATCCTAGCTTCTCAGGAGGCAAAGACTAGGAGGTTTGAAGCCAGCCTGGACAAATAGTTTGTGAGATCCTATTTTGAAAAAACCCATCACAGAAAAAGGCTGGTGGAGTGGCTCAAGGTGTATGCCTTGAGTTCAAGCTCCAGTTCCGTTAAAGAGAGAAAAAAAAAAAGAGGGATTCCTATAGCTTGTAAAGAGGCCTCCAAACCCACTTGTGGTCACAGATGATAATTTGGTGTTTATCTTTCTAGTTATTTTTCTGTGCATTTTATGTATGCTTGTATAGTTTTCATATTGGATAGCCAGTGTGGATTCTGCTCCTTGTTGTTCTGTGACAATTAAAATTATCTGGTGACATCTTTACCAACTGGAGAATTCTCTGTTGCTTGAGTTTATCATAGGTCATTAAACTGACCCTTTGTGCTGGACATGGATGGAAGTAGTGCTACTGTGCCTCCTGTGTGCTGGCCAGTTTGTATAGGGCAGGAGGGCATAGGTGTTCTGCATCAGGAGTGCCCTGTAATATAACTGGTGGGAGAGACAGGGCTAGGGCTGCCCCAAGTACCTCTATCAGGGTTTCAAGAAGTGGCATGATTTGGGCTAATTGAACACTTAAAAAATCCTTAGTACATACTGTCTTCCAGAACTTTATACTGGCTTCCCCTTTATTATTGTATTAAAAACACACTTAAAGTTCTAGAACATAGCTCATGTTAAAACACTGAGATAATTCACAGAGGTGAAAGCTATCCCAGTGTCCTTACTGCTTGAGTTCCTGCGCTCTGGTGGGAACCTGAGAAGCAGCAGGTGGCTCCACCCTGCTGTATTCCCAGAGGGGTGGATGCTTTGCAACCTGGTTTTTCTTGTGTCACTCTCTATTTTAACTAGACAAACACTAAAGAAAACCAAGTTATAAAAACTACTTACTGAGTTGAATGTAAATTTCATTTTTAAAATGTCCTTCCTTCTGTCTCCTATGGCTCAGATTTTTAATTTTTTTGCATTTTTTATTTTTACTTATTTATGTATTTATTTTGGCAGCACTGTCAAGGCCTCACACTTGCTAGGCAGGTGCTCTACCACCTGAGCCACTCAGCCCAACCTTTTTATGTGACGGGTTTTTTCAAGATAGGGTCTCAGGAACTATTTGCCCAGACTGGCTTTGAACTGCAATCCTCCTGATCTCTGCCTCCTGAGTAGCTATGATTGCAGGTATGAGCCACCAGCACCCAGTGTTTTTTTGGTTTTTAACCCAACCTCAGTGCCTTCACCTGTGCCCCAGCTTGCAAGTACAAAGGGGCTAAGATAGTCTTATCCTAAGGCTCAGGCACTGTGTCTGACCTGTTCCAAGTGGTGGTTATCACCCACACTCTATAGCATCATCTTCCAGAATGTCATGATGCTGTGCCATCAGCCTGTGAACCTTGCATGCACCCAGTGCAGCTGAGTATGGAGGGCAGGGCTCAGAGAAGATAAGACCTGTAAGGTCATTTCAGTGCACTGAAAATGGCCAGGAATGCTGGACGTGCTGGGAGAGTACCATAATGACAGGCAAGAGGGAAGCCTCAGGGTCCCTGATGGGTGAGAACTGGGGATATCTAGCACTGTTTTCTTTTAAAATAGGTAGTCCCAGTCAGACATGATTATGGACTGAAGCAGGAGGATATATTGAGCCTGGAGTCCAGGACCAGCCTGGGCAACATAGTGAGACCTGGTTTCCAAAGAAAAGATAGTCCAGATGTTTTTAAAGGAGAGACAGAGCTTTTCACAGCAGAATCCAAGAAGGGAAGGACAGAGCTTACTTTGTGTACATCCTGTGCTGGCCCTTGGCCCCTGCATGCTGTGTGCATTTATGCTTGTCCTGGGGTGAGCATGAGTGGATTAGAAGGGCATCTGAATTAGCCACAGCTGTATTGCGCTGGCCTCCTCTCGAGAGTTGCGCTGGTTAGCACTCTTCAGCACCTACCCTACTCCTCTGCAGCAGCCAGGACTGTCACAACGTTAGGAGTGAACTCTGCTTTCCCTTTAGGATGAGACGAGTTATATGTGAAAGTTGCTAGCCCCCCAGTGGAGTGGCAGAGCTATGAGGGTTGGTGATGCCTGCCATGTGTAGGACCCTCTGGTCTGGGTCCTGGAGAGGCTCCCCAGAGAGCAGGTTCAAACCTCACACGTACCTGGTCTTAAGGGACAGGAGTACACTGGAGGATGAAACGGGGGTGGTGTAGACAGAGTGGAAAAATGAACTTTGTCATTTAACTTGTACCAATGCCATTTTTCTTTATCTTTTCCCTACCTTAAAGTTCAGACCTTTGGGCTCTTGGATGCATAATCTACCAGCTTGTAGCAGGACTCCCACCATTCAGAGCCGGGTAAGAAGGAGCCCTCATCTCTCAAGCTTCTGAGACCATCACAGCTGATAGCAAGTGGGAGGGGAGTGCCAGGGGACATACCCAGCTGGGGAGAGACTTTCACCACGAGTCACAAATGCACAGGGCATGATGACTTGTGGGTGACCTGTGAGATGAGGGTTGTGCCGGGAAAGTACTCTGGCACTGAAGGTTTGAAGGGCCCTGCCCAAATGACTCCCCCCCTTTTTTTTTTTCTCCTAAATTCACAGAAACGAATATCTTATATTTCAGAAGATCATTAAGTTGGAATATGACTTCCCAGAAAAATTCTTCCCTAAGGCAAGGGACCTTGTGGAAAAACTCTTGGTAAGTATTGGTGGAAGGACCATGCAGGCATCTCGTGCATACTCTGACCCTACACTAAGAATGACATCCCTGGGGGTTTCTGTATTGAAGGAAAGGTTCGTTTAAGATTGACAGTTATTGTAAATAGACTTAATGTCTTTTTTTTTCATCTCCTCTCATTATAAACCTTTCACTTTCCAAATGCCTGCTTCTTGAGTTTAGTAGGATAGGAAATTGCTGTATTGTTTTGCATGTGCTTATCAACATTGCATAGCATTTTTTTTTTTTTACACTTTTTTTTTGTTTGTTTGGTTGGATTAGGGTTTGAACTCAGGGCTCATGTCTGCAGAGCAGGTATTCTACTGCTTGAGCCACACCTTCAGTCACACGTAGAATTTTAAGTTATGGCTGCTGGAGTGAGTGGGTGTTTTACAGTGGCAGATGGCTGTAAATTCCACATCAGTGACATCTGCTGGTGTCAACTTTAGAGTAAGTTGCAGGAAGGCTTTAAAGATCAACCAAAGTAATGAGGCAGACAGAGAAACAGGTTAATCTGGGAAAGGTGTGCCAGTTTATATTTCAGAGACTGAAGTGTCCCAGTTCTGGCTACTTTGTACCCTAGACTTCACTTCTTTCTGATTCTTTGTAAATAGAGTTAGTACTGCCTCTGTGGACAGGCCAAGGGTTAGCTCTTCCCAGCCATCTCCTGGCCTCCTTCTACTCTACTCTCGTCAGTAGGGAGTGGGCTTGATCCCCTTGTGGGCCTGAGGGCACAGCCCCTTCCCTGGGGGAGACAATGCTACAGCCTTCCACTCTGCCTCTGTGAGAGCTTGCTTCCCAGACTGATTGTTCTTCTCTGTGCTTAGAGCCAGTCAGTTCATTTTTCCCTTGTTTTATGATTTTTAACTGCATGCTTTAAAAAAATTTTTGTGCTGCTGTCTATATTTTGAGGGTAAGATTGCTTTTCACCTGTGGGAGGAAAGGGGCAGAGCCTCGGGGTGAGGCAGGAACCCTGAGTGGCCTCCTCTCTTCCTGCTGTGGGCGTGGTCAGGCCTGGGAGTGGGCTACAGCATCTCTACTCTTCCCAGGAGTACTGAGAATCAAAAACAGTTGTTCATAAAGATCTTTTTTGTCTGAATTACATTTTAGCACTGACAGCGGCTTGTCTTGACTATCATTTAAGGTTTTAGATGCCACAAAGCGGTTAGGCTGTGAAGAGATGGAAGGGTACGAACCTCTCAAAGCTCATCCGTTCTTTGAGTCCATCATGTGGGAGAATCTGCACCAGCAGACGCCTCCAAAGCTCACAGCTTACTTGCCAGCCATGTCAGAAGACGATGAGGACTGCTATGGCAATGTAAGCCAGCACCTGTTGAGGGTAGCTTGGGTGGGGAGGACTGCTTTCCATGCTGTGTGAATATAGCTCCTCTGTTTACAGGGGCTTCATGCCCAGGTGCCACAAGGCCCTGATTTGTATGTTGAGTGGCTAAAATGTGTGAGCCAATATTGTAGACCTGTTGGTGGTTGAACACTTTGCCACCATGAGGTATTGATCAACAGGCTTTGGGTGAACTCATTCCTCTGGAGAGTTTTCACCTGTCAGGGGGTTGGGAAGGCTGAACTGCTGGATGAGGGAGGAGCAACCTGCCCTCATTTGGACTCCTGTCACTGGGTCTTTTGGTGTCTCATTTTGGTGGCTTTTGGCTTGGTGATTTTATAATTGCTTCTAAGATGTTCTGGAAGCAATTCTGTTTATCCTTCTAAGAGAAACCTGGAGTGCTGCTGCTTGAACTTCCAGTGATGTGGCATTTGAGGGTGGACCCTGATCTCTGCAGTTCTGTGCTCAGCGGGAGAGGCCCAGCCCAGTCCTGTGAGGTACAGCCCATGTCTGTGGGCAACTTCTGTCGCTGGCTTTGAGGCTTCTTGTGACTATATACACAGGACCTTAAGTATACTTTATTCTGAAAACTTCTTATCCTAGAAGCGGGCATTGGTGGCTCACATCTGTAATCCTAGTAACTTCAGAGGCTGAGGTCAGGAGAATCATGGTTCAAGGCCAGCCCAGACAAACAATTTGCAAGACTCAGTCTCCAAAATAACCACAGCAAAATGGACTGGAGGTGTGGCTCAAATCATAGAGTACCTGCTTTACAAACGCAAAGCTTTGAGTTCAAACCTCAGTCCCACCAAAAAAAGAAACAAAACTTTTTATGCTAGAAAATGGGAAATATGTACAAAAGGACAGAAAGGTATCAGAGCTACTGTGTGCCTGCCAGCACCTCCAATCTTCATTCTTACTCAGGCTCCTCTTTATCATTCTCCATTGTGACCCCCATATTTATTGCTTGCTTGCTTGCTTGATTGATTACAGTACTGGGCTTGAACTCAGGGTCTTCACCTTCATCTTCACCTTGAGCCACTCCACCAGTCATTTTTTGTGAAGGTCTTTTTTTTTTTTTCTGAGATAGGGTCTCCTGAGCTATTTGCCTGGGGATGGCTTCAAACCATGATCCTCCTGATCTCTGCCTCCTGAGTAGCTAGGATTACAGGTGTGAGCCACCAGCACCTGGCTTAAATATGATTTTGAAAGTTTGTTTATTGGTAGTCCATTTTTCTGGTTTGAATTCTTTGTGGCTTATTTTAACCAGTTACCATGCATGGAGTTCTACTTCAATTGGTTGTGGAACTTTAGCTTTTATCTAAAAGCATTATAAAACTAAATTGAAATTACTGGTTTTACCTCTTAGAGATAAAGGGTTCCTTAAATCTCTTACTTAAAGAATGTCATAGTCCCCTTTTTGTCCTAAAGTGCCCCTTTTGCCAAGACTTGAAGGGAGCCACACTAAAGAGCATCTGTGTTCACCTCTGCCTGTTCCTTGATGGTTGTACACACTGCAGAGAACTCTGCTCTGGAACCCGGAATCCCTCATACACATAACCCCCACTCCATCCCAAATGCTGCCTGTATGCTGTTGGATAACACCCTCTTGGGTCACATCAGTGGGAGCTGGTGGGGGCTTTGGTGCCTTCCCTGTTGGGCCTGTCATTCCTGCAGAAGGCATATCCTGGGGTGGCAGGTGGCCATTCAGCTTGTGGGTTTTGGGCCTGTTTCCATCACTCCCATGGGGCAACTGAGCTCTGAAGAAGCCCTGTAGGCTCCAGTATCTCCAGTCTCAGCACCGAGGAGCTTGTCTTCATGCTGGGTGTGCAAGTGCCTGCGTGTGCGAATGTGCACTGGCCCCTAAGCACTGGGATAGCCCATCTGCACTGGATCGCAAGCTTTGGCTGCTCTGAGTATAAGCAGCTTGTTTTGGTTAGGTGGCCATTCCTCAGCTCTTCCTGCCAGTTTGACATGAGGGTCTTGGAAAGTATCTGAGTAGAGAGCTCCCTGTGCCAAAGTTCACCTTCAGACATGAGTCTTGAAAGAGAGCCAGCAACAGGGAAGCCTGCTGCAGAAGCTAGGCACTCCCTCCCCTCAGGTGGAATGCCTTCATCTACAGGTCTGATCTTCTCTTCAGCAGGAAGGGGCTTCTCCTAAGGGAGGAGATGACAAGCTCTTCCTACTCTGAAGTCAGGGCATGAGGAGAACAGGTGCCTTGTTTCCTGATTCCTGCAGCCCTGCTGATGGATGACATTTTTTTTCTGGCCTCTGTGGCATCAGAGTAGGCCAAAGCTGGGCTCCTTAAAGGCAGGGTCTGTCTACTTGGGACCAGTGGAGTTGGATGTTTCCTGCTGCTCATGGCAGCACCTCATGCCTTCCCAGGGCTGCCTTTCTCTACCCATCTTGCCTGGCCTGGCCTGCCCCTGTACTGGGCTGCTGAAGGGTAATGGAGGAATGGTTTGGAGCCTCTGTAATGGCTGTGAAACAGTGAGTGGGGGCAGGAATGGCCATTTTGCATGGTCATGGCAGCTCTGTGATGTAGGGGAGGCAGCACTTCGTTGTTAGGAATTCAATGTTGGCCAGTAGAGTATGACTTTAGGTCATTTTCTGAGCTTCAGTTTCCTTGTCAGAAGTGAGGACAATGGTAGCTGCCACCTTGCTATCTCTGAAGGTGCTAGTGATCCCTGCATGGGGGTCCTGTGGTCGCCTCTGTGAACTTCACACATCCTTGCTGTGGGAGCCTTTGGAGAGGATATGGAGGTTGCACTGGGAGTAGTCCTGGGGCCGTAGCCTCTGTAGAACTGTATGCACATGCATCTGGTAAGGGCCTGTGGGGGCTACAAAGGATGGCAGCTGGCCTCTGTGGAGTTGCAACCAGGGCTCTCTTTCTGGAGCTTGGGTAGTATGGAAGGCAGGGCTCGGTTGTGGGGTTTGCAGCCAGTTTCCCAGGATAGCCATGCTTCCGAGATCTTTTGCCAGAGTTCTTTGTTAGTACCTAGTAGTGTTCGAATGCCTGGTTTTGCCCATGTGGCAAGTTTGTGTGTAGTCTTTTCTCCAGAATAATAGGCAACTTTGTTTCTATCAAGTTTGATTAATCATTGCTGAGCTTGAAAGGAATGTTTAAAAAAAAATGAATGTGGTGAGTCAAATCAAAATATGTAGTGCCTCCCTTAGACTCTGAAGATTAAGATTACCAGAACCAAAAGAGGAGTGAGCCTGACCTTGAGTTCTGTGCCAAAAGGGTAGATCCTGTGGTCCCTTCTCTTGGGGCCAGCAAGCCTGCAGTTCCTGCTATCCTATCAGTGCCATGCTGGGTGAGGGTCTCAGTCTTTTCTCTCAGGAGATGAAGGCTGACTTGTAGCCCTCTCTAACTCCTGTTCCTAACAGATGAGGACCATGCAGAAAGATCCAGCCTTGAGTTGGCTCAGCGGCCAGATGGCTAGGAGAGATGAATTAGATCTGTCTACACTTATCAGAAGGGACAGACAGGCTGCCTGCCTTGGTAGTGTGTGAACTCACCAAGTGTGAGAGGGCTATTGGGTGGGCAGTATATGTGGATCTTTGATCCTGGAGGCAAATTAAGGTGCCTTTCTCCTTTCTCCTTCTTCCCTGCAGTATGACAATCTCCTAAGCCAGTTTGGCTGCATGCAGGTGTCATCCTCCTCCTCTTCCCACTCCCTGTCTGCGGTGGACACTGGCCTGCCCCACAGGTCAGGCAGCAACATAGAGCAGTACATTCACGATTTGGACACTAACTCTTTTGAACTGGACTTACAGTTTTCCGAAGATGAGAAGAGGTTATTATTGGAGAAGCAGGCTGGTGGAAATCCTTGGTAAGAATTACAGGCTTAAGCAACATTCTGTCTAAAGATGAATGAACGTGGGCAGCAGACTGGGTTGGGCCATTCAGCCTTGGGACGATGCCTCCTTAGTGCCTCACGTAGTTTATGGAGGAAGACCCTTCAAAAAGTGTTGGAACTGGGTGTTCAGGAGGCTGCAGAGCTAGGGGTTGAGTGGGTTTGGGACCCTCAGGTTCCCTAGTTCCAGCGGGCAAGGGTTAACATAGTTCCCTCCTCTGCCCGGCATCTGGACATTCTGGGTGCAAGATTGGAGTCCCTGTGAGCCTGCTGTGGAAACTACTGGGCATTTCTGGTGCTTTGATTTTTATTTGTGTCAAGGTGGACATTTTCCATGTTCATTGGTCATTTATGTTTATTTTTCAAGATATTTCATATGCTTAGCGGACTGTTTTTTTTTTTTCCTTGCATTTTTACCTTCCTTCTTTCCTTCCTCCCTCCCTTCCTTCCTTTTGATGGTACCAGGGATTGAACTCAG